AGACCTGAATGTAAAACTGCATATTATAAAACTCTTGGAGGGAAACAGGCAGAACACTCTGTGACATAAATTGCAGCAATATTTTTTTTTTTTTTGGATTCACCTCCTAGAGTAATGAAAATAAAAAGAGAAATAAACAAATGGCATATAATCAAACTTAAAAGCTTTTTCACAGCACAAAAAAAAAAATACATAAGCAAAATGAAAAGACAACCCACAGAATGGGAGAAAACATTTGCAAATGAAGCGACCAACAAGGCATTAACCTCCAAAATACAAAATGGGTCATGCAGCTCAATATCAAGAAAACAAACACCACAATCAAAAAACGGGCAGAAGATCTAAGCAGACAATTCTCTAAATAAAGCATTCACATTTCCAAAAACCACATGAAAATATGTTCAACATTACTAATTCTTAGATAACTGCAAATCAAAACTACAATAAATATCGCCTCACAATGGTAATAATGGCCATCATCAAAAACTGTGCAAACAATAAATGCTGGAGAGGGTGTGGAGAAAATGGGAACCCTCCAAAACTACTGGTATGAATGTAAATTGGTACAACCACTATGGAGAACAAGAAGGAGGTTCCTTAAAAAGATATAAACAGAACTGTATAATCCAGCAATCTCACTCCTGAGTATATATCCAGAGAAACTATAATTCAGAAAGATATACGCACCCCAGTGTTCACTGCAGCACTGTTAACAGCAGCGAGGTCATGGAAACAACCTAAATCTCCATCAACAGAGGAGTGGATAAAGATGTAGAACACATACAACAGGATAGTAGTCAAGTCATTAAAAGGGAAGAAATGCCACTTGCAGCAACATGGATGGATCCAAAGATAAAGTGAAGTAAGTCAGAAAAAGAAAGACAAATTACTTGTATGTGGAATCTAAAACTTTAAACAAATGAACTTACTCTCTAAACAGAAACAGACTCACAGACTTCAAAAATAAACTCTTATTGTTACCAAAGGGAAAGGGAGGGGGATAAATTAGGAGTTTGGTATTAACATATATACACTACTATATACAAAATAGATAATCAATAAGGACCTAGTGAACTCTACTCAATATTATATAATAACCAATATGGGAAAAGAATCTGAAAAATAATGGATATATGTATGTGAATAATGAATCACCTAGTTATATACCTTAAACTAATACAATACTGTAAATTAACTATAATATACAGCAAAATTTTTTTAAAAGTTTAAGTGTTGTCAACTTAAGACAGGCTGTTATAGATATAAGTTGTCATATATAAGCCTCCTGTGTGTTTGCATGCTAAGATGCTTCAGTCATGTTTGACTCTTAGCGACCCGATGGACTGAAGCCCACCAGGCTCCACTGTCCATGGGATTCTCCAGGCAAGAACATTGGAGTGGGTTGCCATTTCCTCTTCCAGTGGATCTCCCTGACCCAGGGATTGAACCCGTGTCTCTTAATGTTTCCTGCATTGGCAGGCACGTTCTTTTCCATTAGCAACCTGGGAAGCCAATATAAGCTGCCTAGTAACTGCAAAGCAAAAACCTACAATAAACACACAAAAGATAAACAGAAAGGAATATAAGTACATTTATATAACTAAAGAAAGTTATCAAAATATAAAAGAAGAGAATAAGAGAATAAAGGAAGAGAGTAGAACTACAAAAACAGCCAGTAAACAATTAACAAAAAAATCAATACGTACATACATATCAGCAATTATTTTAAGTGGAAATGCCCTAAATTCTCCAAAGACATAGAGTAGCTAGATCATTAAAAGTAAGACAAGACCTATCTATATACTGATTACAAAAGATTCACTATAGATGTTAAGACACACATAGACTGAACATGAAAGGATTGAAAAAATTATTTCATGCAAAAAGAAACCAAAAGGAAGATGAAGTAGTGACACTTATATCAGACAAAACAGACTTTAAAACAAGACTGTTACAGAAAACAAAGATGGATATTATATAATGATGAATAGGTTATTCAACAAGAGGATTTAACATTTGCAAATATTCATACACCCTACATAAGAGCACCTAAATAGAGAAAGCAAATATTAAGAGACCTAATAGGAGAAACAGACAGTAATACAGTAGCTGTTCTGCTCAGATTTAATATTTCATGATAGTTCAGTCTTACTAGGTGGTATGTTTCCAGGAATTTATCCATTTATTTTCTAGGTTGAGCAATTTGTTGGAATTTATTTATTATAAGTATTTTCCTATGATTCTTTATATTGTATTTGTGTTATCAGTTGTAACATCTCCTGTTTCATTTTTTATTTTATTTGAGTTCTTTTCTTCTTATACCTATAGCTAAATGCTTGTCAATTTTATCTTTTCAAAGAACCAGCTCTGAACAGATTTATAACTGGTAAGGAGACTGAATCAGTAATCAAAAACCTCCCAACAAATAAAAACCAGGACCAGATGGCTTCATTAATGAATTCTACAAAATATTTAAAGAATTAATATCAAAAAAAGAATTAATATCAATTCTTCTCAAACTCTTCCAAAATATTTAAGAGAAGGGAGCTCTTCCAAACTCATTTTACATGGCCAATATTATCTTGATACCAAAACCAGAAAAGGACACCACAAAAAAATGAAAACTATGGGCCAATTTTAAAATGGGCTGAAGATCTAAACAGACATTCTTCAAAAGAAGACATACAAGCATAATTTGCTTTAGTATGCTTTGCTTTACTCTTCCTAGATGCTGTGCTTTTCAACAAATTGAGTATGTATGGCAACCTTCTGTCAGCCAAGTCTACAGGTGCCATTTCTAACAGCATTTGGTCATTTTATGTTTCTGTTCCACATTTTGGTAATTTTCCCAATATTTCAAGCCCTCCTCAAGCAAAATGATTACAACCTACTGAAAACTCAAGATGACAGATAGAATTTTTTAACAATAAAGTGCTTTTTAGTTAAGATAAGTGCATTTTTTCAGACATAATGATATTGTACACTTAATAAACTACAATATAGTGTAAATACAATTTTTATGTGCACTGGGAAACCACATAAATCATGTGACCTGCTTTATAGCAATATTTATTGTATTGTGGTGATCTGGAAAAAATACCTCACAATATCTCCTAGAAATGCCTGTACAGATGGCCAACAGATACATGAAAAGATGTTCAACATCATTAATCATTAGGGAACACAAATCAAAACCATACTGAGATATCATCTCATATCTTTTAGAATATCTATTATGAAAAAGACAGAAAGTAACAAATCTTGCTGAGAATGTGGAGAAAAGAGAACCCTTGTGCACTTCTGGTGGGAATATAAAGAAGTGCAGTCACTTTGTATAACAATACGGAGGTTCTTCAAAAAAATAAAAATAGAACTACCATATGATCCAGCAATTCTACTTCTGAGTATTTATCCAAAGAAGATGAAAACACTAACATGAAAAGATATATACACCCTAATGTTCACTACAGCATTGTTTATGATAGCCAAGATATGGAAATAACCTAGGTGTTCACTGATGGATGACAGAAAGAAATTGTGGCATATATATATGCATATAATATATGTATAAATAAAATGGATATTATTCAGCCATAAAAAAGAATAGCATCTTAACATTTGTGATAACATTGATGGGCCTCACAGACATCATGCTAAATAAATAAATAAGTCAGAGAGAGAAAAACAAATGTATGACGTCTCTCATATGTGCAATCTAAAAAACAAAGAAGCTCAGAAATATAGACAACAAACTGATGATTAACAGAGGTGATAAAAGAAATGAGTGAAGGGGGTCACAAGGTAAAAAGAAAAAAGAAGGGAGCACAGATTTGAGCCCTGGGTGGGGAACTATGATCCCACATGTCACAGGGCATGGCTTAAAAAAAAAAAAAAAGTAAAGAAAAAAAGAGTAGTAAAAATAAAGGTCTCATCAGTATTTCACCCAGTGATCTTAGTAGTCACTGATGATCACTGCCTTGATCTATGACCAAAAAAAAAAAAACTCAGTGAAAAAGTATGCTTAAGTGAAAGTCACTCAAGTCATGTCCGACTCTTGTGACCCCATGGACTATACAGTCTATGGAATTCTCCAGCCCAGAATACGGGAGTGGGCAGCCATTCCCTTCTCCAAAGTTTAAAATATGACATAGGTCATTGGTGTAAAACAGAAGGATTCAAATATTGGCCTTGACAAGTCGTGGGTATACTAAACAGGTGAAACTGGAACAACAAAGTAATTGAGACAAAATCCAGATGAGTGATATATAAACATTCAAATATTACATACAAATTATTAAGTATAAATAAGTATAAATTATTAATTATAACTTGTCAACACCTAAAAAGCACAGTGGTAACAAGTAAGCTGTAGCAAGTTTAAATAAGAAGAAACTCTATCATATCAACCTTATTTACTTTTTTTAATGCGGTTACTTGAGGATGGACTGAAGTCATATAGTAAATACACTTATTTTGATTTTAACAAAGGAAAATCTTACAATTGAAATAGATTATCCCCTTTTACTGAATACTCTCAGGCTAGGGTTCAGGCAGGTTTCAGATTTGCAGATCTCCAAGTTTCCTTCTAGCTCTAAGACTGTGACTCCAGGTGAGAATCACATCACTTCTAAAAAATGTAATGTCATATGAAAATATAAATGAATTATTGATAGTAACTACCTCTATATTATCAATAACTCTACATTACCTATAAAACTTTGAACAAACATAACCAGTAAAACTTCATCAATGAATAATAAAAATTAATATTCTCTCCTTATCCAATATTTCTTTAAAATTTTAATAAACCATAAACCTAACTTTTAAGTGTTCTCTCTACTTGATTTTCTCATGAAAGATAAAAATGCTAATAAGATATGAAGGAGTAAAGCAATAGAAATAGGGAGAGCAGGGTAAGATTCTTAGAAGCTGAAAATAAAACATTAAAAACTGGATAATTTTAAACTGCCTACATTGAATATTTATTTTGACAAAGTTACCTTCTCTTCTCTCTTCCATAAATGTATTCAATTCTTGTATTGTTGCTTTATCAACAGACATATGTACTTTAAGTTTATCCAGTTCTTCTTGAAGATTCATTCTACGAAAATTAACATAATAAACAATTATTTTAAATATGTAAGTTAAGAAAAATATGGCAAACATATAAAGGTGGCAAAAATATTTTTAAAAAACATGGATCAGTAGTAAAAAAAGCTAGAGCATATTAATATTAACAAATCCTAACAATTAAAATTGAATTTTAATGACATCTCTAAAGTAAAATGTTTCAACTGGTTTTTAATTTTGTCTAAATAAAAATACTAAATAATTAAAAAACATAAACTACATAATTTTTTAAAAATCTATTGACTTACCAGATCATTTTCTAGCACACAGATACACGATGTAAAATAATAATAAAACATTAATACATATCACTGAAAACAAAGGGAGTAAATCTAAAGATGCCAAATAAAGGCAAAAAACCCTTACTGGTAAAATGAAATTGAGCTACCATGACAAGAGACCTGGATTAAATAACATCCATGGAGAGCTCCAACCTTGAGACCTGAGTGGACATGAAAATTTATCCACAGGGACCTTCATGGCTGAGACACAAAACTGGATTAACTGCAGGAAGCTGGGGCACAACATTTTCTGAATTAAAACCTGAGTATCTAAGCTTATCTGGCTGAAGTTTCATTAAAAAGAAGCTTTTCGTCCAGTCTAAGGGCAAGAAAGAGTCAACCATGTGTGATCAGAAACATAAGTATATATTGTTGTTGAGTTACTAAGTCATGTCTGATTCTTCGTGACTTCATAGACTGTAGCACACCAGGCTCCTATGTCCTCCACTATCTCGTAGAGTTTCCTCAAATTCATCATACTTACTGAGTCAGTGATACTATCTAACCACCTCATCCTCTGCTGCCCTCTTTCTTCTTTTGCTGTCAATTGTCCTTAGCATCGGGGTCTTTTTCCATGAGTCAGCTCTCCACAGAAAGTGGCCAAGGTATTGGAGCATCAGCCTCAGCATCAAGTGAAAGTGAAAGTTGCTCAGTTGTGTCCAACTCTTTGCAACCCCATGGACTGGGGCCCGCCAGGCTCCTCTGTCCATGGAATTCTCCCGGCAAGAATACTGGAGTGGGTAGCCATTCCCTTCTCCAGGGGATCTTCCCAATCCAGGGATCGAACCCAGGTCTCCCACATTGCAGGTGGATTCTTTACCNCAGTTTGTACATATGGAAATTCTCAGTTCATGTAGTGTTAAAGGCTAGCTTGAAGGGCTTAAGCATGACCTTGCTAGCATGTGATATGAGTGCAAACGTATGGTAGTTTGTACATTCTTTGGCATTGCTCTTCTTTGGGATTGGAATGACAAGTGATCTTTTCCAGTCCTGTGGCTACTGCTGAGTTTTCCAAATTTTCTGGCATATTGAGTGCAGCACTTTCACAGCATCATCTTTTAGGATCTGAAATAGCTCAGCTGGAATTTTGTCACCTCCACTAGCTTTATCTGTAGTGATGCTTCCTAAAGCCCACTTGACTTCGCATTCCAGGATGTCTGGCTTGAGGTGAGTGAACACACCATCATGGTTATCCGGGTCATGAAGACCTTTTCTGTATAGTTCTTCTGTGTATTCCTACCACCTCTTCTTAATCCCTGCTGCTTCTGTTAGGGCCATACCATTTCCATCCTTTATTGTGCCCATCCTTGAATGAAATGTTCCTTTGATAGTTTCAATTTTTTTGAAGAGATCTCCAGTCTTTTACATTCTATTGTTTTCCCCTATTTCTTTGTATTGCTCATTTAAGAAGGCCTCCTTTTTTTTCTCCTTGCTATTCTCTAGAACTCTTCATTCAGTTGGATACATCTTTCCCTTTCTCCCTTGCCTTTTGCTTCTCTTCTTTCCTCAGCTATATGCAAAGCATCCTCAGACAACCACTTTGCCTTCTTGCACTTCTTTTTCAATTCATTTTCTATATTGCTGCTGCTGCCGCCGCCAAGTCGCTTCAGTCGTGTCCAATTCTGTGCAACCCCACAGATAGCAGCCCACCAGGCTCCTCCATCCCTGGGATTCTCCAGGCAAGAATACTGGAGTGGGCTGCCATTTCCTTCTCAACATTTTCTATATTACTGACATTAAAATTGAGCCATTACATGTTTGCAGAGACCTGAAGAAATGACAGTAATGTAAAAACAGTTTTATGACCTGTGTAAATTGAGAGTTCCAGCAGACACAATCGTCCACTACAGAGAGGTGTCTAAAACTACAGAATGGACAAGAGGAAAGCCACAACAGAAAATAATTCTTAAAGAAGTCAGGTTTATAGATAAGAGTAAATATGAATAAGCTCAAAGCCACAAATGATAGTCTGTATATCACCCCATTCAAAATGGGAGAATCTACAAGGAAAGAGAGATAACACAATAATTTAAAATGAATTCTTACAAAATTAGAGTTTTTAAAATGGTGATAAAAAAGAAAAAAGTTATAAACATATATGAAAAAGAACAGGGATTTATAAGAGAAGACAAATTTTTTAAAAAGAACCAACTACTGTATCTAGAAATGCTAATAAATAAAATAAGTAAAGCTAGTAATAACATAAAAACTGAAATTTAAAATTCAGTGGATGGATTAAATAGCATACCAACAAAGCTAATAAAACTTTGTAAAATTAAAGACAACACAAAGAAACAAAGCAAAGGAAACAGTAACTATATATATAGTGTGTTGGAATGAGAAGGCCAGAAAGCATCTAATAGAAGTTATTTGAAGAGAGAATTGAGAAAATGGGGGGTGGGTGGGGTGGGGAGACAATATTTAATATACAATAACTGAAGATTGAGAACTAATATAAACTATTAATTAATAGATTGAGAGTATCAAAAATTGAAAGCAGAATTAATAAAACTATATTTACACTAGGCACATACCAAAACTGAGGACACCAAAGAAAACAAGACAATTATAAAATCAATAGAACGAGAAAAAAAATCAACAATTAATGAATTCAGGAAAGACAGTAGGCTTCTGATACTAGTAAGAAAATCAGATGGAAAATAAGTAATATTTTCCATATTCCATGGTTTACTACTCATAGTTCCTATATTAAAAAACTATTAAAGAATATTCTATTTCAGGAAGAAAACAACCTCAAAAGCAATGTATACAACAAAATAGGAAATGATGATGAAAGAAGTATAAATGTGTACATAACAGCAAGCAAACATTTATTAAGCAAAGCAATCAAAATATCCAAGTGAAGGTAAAACTAACATTCTGAACAACAAAATGACATTAGATGAATGAAAGGATCAGAATTAAAGCATTTGAAGATCCTTGCATTGTAAAAGAAGAATGGAAGCATACTGAAGAAATTAAGACTGTCAAATAAATGAAGTATGTTATAATTTCAAGAAAAAACACTTAAAAGAATGGAAAACAAAAATTTAAAAACTAGCAGAGCACAAAAATGAACTAAAAATATAATCAAATTGAAGGAAAGAAATATCTTTAAAAGAATCATAAAAATGAAATATACACTAAGAAAAATATTCAGAATAATATGGTCATTATATAACAGTGAAAGAAATGACTTGCTAGGAAGATAGATAACAACAGTTATAAATTTTTATGTACTAAACAAGAAATATAATTCTTAAAATAATTCAAATTAAAAGGTATATAATGTGGAAAAAACAAAACAAGTTGTCTCTGCTTCCCCCCACTCAGTGTACTTCCTAAAAAAAGTTATTTATAGTTTGATGCAAATAATTATATTTTTGTTCATAGAAACAAATACACATATATAAAGATTTAACAATTGGAATCTTACACATTTGAAGTTAGGTTAAACTCAGGTTACAGGTTAATGGGAAGGCAAACAAACATGCACACATATATGTGTCCACGCTCAGTCATGTCCAACTTTTCACGACCCCATGGACTGTAGCCCGCCAGGCTCCTTTGTCCACGGGATTTTCCAGGAAAGAATACTGGAGTAGTTGCCATTTCCTCCTCCTGGGAATCTTCTCCATACAGGGATCAAACCCGTGTCTGCTGTGTTTCCTGCACTGGCAGGTAGATTCTTTACTACTGAGCCACCTGGAAAGCACACACATCTATACCCAACCACAAAGCGATTAAGTTTAAATTAGGTTCTTGCTTTGTTTTGCTAAGAACATAGGACATAATGTAGCAAGATGGCCCCACAAAGAAAAACCAGATGTCGCTCATCTTAACTTAGTTTTCCTTGGCTCTTACTGAGATCACTAACCCAGTGGAACACAGGGCTACAGCTGTTGGAAATGTTATTTCATGCTTCTTTAGATGTATTCTATGCTTACAGTTTTGTTTTGTTTTGTTTTTTAAGGAAGAATTCACAGTCTGTACTGTTAATGTGAAGCATTTAGAAACATTAGGGACTGCCTTGTTCTTGAGTCAAACTAAGTACCAACAAACTACACATCTTAATGGGTATTTGGAAAAGCAGCTGACAAGGGTAAGTGCTCAGGCACTCCCAAGCAGGATGAACATTGGCTACTTAGGGACTCAGATTTATTACCCATTTATTCTGCTGTTTCTGATGTTCTGTTTGGTATAGGAACCACAATTCAAAATCTACTTCTGACTGGACAAATTATGAAAGGTGACTGTTTTCAGATGCTGGAGAATAGGCTACAATGAACTTTGATCAACAAAGAGAGTCCTAAGGACAGTCCAGACTTCTGCCAGGAGGCACTCATGATGATGTCATGATGTAGGAAGAGGGAGTCTTCAGTGACCTGAAGAAAAAGAGGCTGGAGTTTGGGAAAGCTGGAATGTTTGGAATTTGTAAAGCACAGTACTCAGAGAAGAGGAAGCTAACCGAGGAGCTGCATAAATTTGCATAACAATTCATTTGAGTCTTTGGCTGAATATTTTGTTGCACAAACATACTATGAAATTCAGAAAGGCAAGCAGAGAACAACCAGTGCTTCAGAACTATTCCCAGAGCTCTCATGGCACTGGGAGACATGTGAATTCTACCCACCTAGAGGGGAGAATCTCGTTGAACATTAGGGGTACTTAGCAAAGAACCCAAAAGGGT